GGGAAACCAGTTGGCACTTAATACACTTAATATTTGATACTTCTTGACTTATAAATGACTTTTGAGGGACTAGAGAGGAAAAGAGGAAAGAAATTTATAAACAAACAAAAAAACCAGTTCACACAAAACTACTGTCTTCCTGCAATTAATGGTGCAGTCTTGTCGGTGATTGCACTGAACGATGAACACATCATCCACCTAATACTTTCATATATTGGCCTCATGGTGGCTGGCTTTCTTGCTGCTAAGTGTTCTTTTTTTTAATCTCTAATTTGTCTGTTAATTTAGAGAATAACTCTTTTATTTTAACTAATTTTAAAAGAAAATTTAAAAAATGCAGTTTTAAAAGAAACTCTTCTCTAGATTGACCTTTATCATAAACTTGTTGTGTGAACTTGGATAAATCACTTAACCTCTCTGAGTTCCAGGCTCACTCAGAGAGATTATTTCATTTTTAACTGGTGTCTTGGCATGATGTAAGCAGCACTGGGCACATATGAGGTGCTCAATAAATACATTTTGAAAAACTACATCAAGAATAGTATTTTCTCCAAAGGAAGACAAACAGAAGAGAAGTAACAGGAAGAAATTCACAAAATGCTCCATGAAACTAACCTGGGTTTTCCAAAAAAAATATTGAAGTGATTCATTTTTATCATGTCACTGAGCTCAGGGATGAATCAATAGAATAAACAATAGAGTTATTACAAAACCAGAACAGGTACGCTGTTACTACCTTCCCTGATGTAATTTCCGAGGTAATAGTACCTAGGCATTGGGCATATAGAAAATGCTATTTAAATGTCTTATTATTGTTATTGTTGTACTTTCAAAATTATAAATCCACTTGGAGGGAGCTTCATCTAAATTTTCCCCGAACCTTTCCCAGTGCTGTTATTCAATATAAAATCATCACTGTGGCCAACAGGCATAAAGGGAGAGAAGATGGTACTTGGCTAATATTTGCGATTACATTTTTTGGTTCACCTAAGCTTGCAGAGACAGAAGTACCACGCTTTCAGGAAATTGTCCAACTAGAAAGACCTCAGGAAGAAGGAAGAGATTGCCTAGCCTGTCAATGCCATGATAAAAAGGACTCTATCTCTCTTGTTTTTACCACAATCTAGTGCCATTTGGGAAGGTGTTGTAAGGGGTAGACAATAAGAGAGTGCATTTTTTACAGAGAATTAAAAAATAAATAAATAAACCAACTCAGTGGGTTCTTTTTTTGCTATCACTCCACACTGGCAATGCTTAGCAATGTCAGTGATGAAATTCTCTTCAGTTCTAGGGCAGGCCTCTCCCACCACCCTGCCCCACCCCTTGGATACTCAGTATTCCCCTGACACTGTTCCCAGTATCTCATACAATGCCTGGCACATAACAGGTATGAATTATTGGGGAAAATGCTAATGTGAGAAATAAGAGTATAGAACTCCCCTCCCCCCACAATTCCTTTGTCTTTCCCTATTGTTTTCTTAAAAACAGGAAAACCATAACATAAAGTGCCCGTAGTATTTTGTATGTCTCTGGCCCTTATTTAAATCCTATGCAAAATTTTAGATTCCATAGCTCAAGGAAAATGTCCCTTCAATGAGGACAGGGCAAAGTAACAAATAACAGCGGGCCAATGGGTCATGTGGAGAAAGTTCTGAAAGACCTGAGATTATGGACCCTAACCAGAGAAAGTTGAAGTTTTTTGCACACAGCATGGTGCATTAAGTGTAGGATGGTGGCCAGATCAAGTCCTTTTTCCCAGAAGCACAGCAGACTTTATGTATAATGGAGATTCTGGGTCAGGCTGACTTTCCAGCATTAAGAAGGGCTGAACCCTGTAAATGGATATTAGAAGTCTTCATTTAGAAAGAGGATGGGGAAGTGTATCTGCCACTAAGCTCAATGCTCGGTGACTGTTACATGCTTTCTGAAGCGTTAGTCACCTGCACACTACTGAAATGGTAGAGGAAGGGTAAACCACATGGGTAAAAGCCAATGGGGAACTTCGGGCGTAATGCTGTATCAAAGTAGGTTAATTGATTGCATCAAATGTACCACTCCGGTGGAGGATGCCACTAGTGGGGGAGGCTCTGCAGGTGTGGGGGCAGCAAGTATGTGGGAAATCTCTGTACTTTCCGCTCGATTTTGCTGTGAACCTAAAACGGCTCTAAAATATAGTCTTAAAAAAAAAAAGCCAACTAAGAGGAGTGGGGAGAACTGTTGCCAGAGCCTAAAAGAATTAGTTTCATTTGCATGGTGCTTTACGATGGACAAGTGGTTTTTTTTTCCCCTCTCTTATGAACCTGTGAAACTAGAAGAACAAGTGTCATTATTTCCATTTCTCATGATGAGGAAACTGAAGCTCAGAGAGTTCAAGTGCCTTGTCTTAATATCAGGAACAAAGGACAATTCAAGTCAGGTCTTAAAACTCCTCTAAGTCCAAGGACCAATGCACTCTCTGCTTGTATCTTTAATGATTCACAAGCTTTTGGAGAAAAAAACAACAAATCTTATTGCTGTCTTGGATTAGGTATTCAAATTTCTGAGAGGTCTGAGATTATGGACTTTAGTGAGAGAAGGTTGAACTCCTTGCACACAATGAGGTCCATTAAGTGTAGGATGGTGACCAGATCGAGAAAAGTATAAATTTAACCAATTCTCAATGCAGTTAAGACAGCAGGAGAAAGAACTATAAATGAAATCATGACAGAAAAGAAAGCGTATCCAAACTATAAAATAATCCAAACTATACATTATATCTTTTTTGAAAACTCCAGACTGCTAAGAGGACTATTCTGAAATCGCCAACATTAATGGGCCTATGCTGGTAACACAGAGAAATTGAAAGTCTCCACATCATTCCTAGAAGAGCAAACAAATTCCTGATTTCTCAGGATTGGCGAGGTCCAAAAAGTCCCCAGGGAAACTACAGGCAAAAATCATGCCACACCCAACAATAGAGATGTGCCTGGGCCTTAGGACATAGCTGCATTAGCCCAAAAGGCAGTGAGTTTATGTATATCAATATTAACATTTTTAACAATAAAAATAATAACAACCAATACTTATTGAGAGTTTTTTTTCTGCCAGGCACTTTGGATGTTTCTGAGTTTTTAGTGAATAAAAATTAAATTTGCTTTGTGATAGCACAATACCCTTTGAAGGAACCAGAGAAGTGTCCATGGCACCAGTCCTAGGACTAGCCGCTCTTGGATCTATATAACGCTGGTGCTGATTTCATAGAGAAGGAAGGAGGTGAAGGCCTGACAGATGCCCTGTGAATTAAAGCCAGGCAGTTCAAGACTAACAGAGGAATGGAGATATTCTCTTTAAAAGCAATCATTTAGCATAAAGCAGCTGTCCAAATAGGTTAAGGCTTTTTGCCATATAGGCAGAAATGAGCTAGAACTTATTTTTAAGACCAACCTCTCAACATTAAAAAAAATATGATTTCTAAGAAGCTTTCACCAGTATATAATTCTGTAGCAGTTAACTTCTTCTGTGTTGTCAATAATTTCAAAGAACAAGAGGCAGGTATATAAAAACCACAGATGTTTCACATCATTTGCTAGTGCCCATCAGTAATAAGACATTTATAGGGTTTTGGTAGTGACCTGAGACCTATGCTAGACATACATAGTGGCTCATTTTTAGGTAAGGTAAAAATGTGGGGAAAACATTCCTTTGTAATGTCCTTTGTGATACTACCCCTAGCATGTGTTTTCTTTCATCTGTTTGTTAATATCTGGTATTTCATTTAAATAAGATAGAATGGTTTCTGAACGAGCAATACATTTTCGCATGCAAACACCTAGAGAGGTAAACGTGATTGAAACCTGCAATAAGATGTAAACTCTTGCATCAGAGCTGAGATTTGCCTCAATAAGACTGTGGCGATGTGATGTGGGAACAGATGTAGGTTGGCGACTTTTTAGGTAAGGTTTAGGGGAAGATGCAGAATAAGGATCCAGAAGACGAACATCTGACTGCCCCAATCACTGTCTAATAATTAGCCAGTCTTTTGCTGCAATGCTCTGGCCTCAGGGATGCCCAATGACAAGTGACTGCACTCTGGAAGCATTTAAGATGGTTAGCACAGGATCTCTGGTTAACATGGAGAAAGAGAAGGTGGGTGGTATTAATCCTGCTCTGTAACTTTATTCTACTTATTCCCGACAGAAGTGTAATATCTCAGTCATGGGCTCAGTTAAGTTCTCTGCTTACTGGTCATCTCAAGTCACCCCTGTCAACAATTCGGCGCCCTCCCAAATCATAACGGTGCTCTGCAGAGCAAGTCCCTGACTTGTTGAATAGTCGATCCTATGTCCTGCGAGCATTGACCAATTCTCTGATCCAAAACACCCCAAACATGCTAACTTCTATCCTCACAAAAGACAATATAATTTAAATGAGATTGTGCAATGCTAAGACACCCAAGCCGCATGCACGAAAATTTTCTATCAAGCAGAGCCACCTAGTGGTAGAATGAAATATGGGGATTTTTTGTTTGTTTTAAATTCTCCTTTAATTTCTCTCATATAATAACCCCATCCAGATAGGGTTCTCTGTCTTTCTTTTCTTTTCTTTTTTTCATATGTTCATTTTATCTACTCGTGTTTACAGCTACCTCCTTTGAGACTGTTGAGACTCACCGCCATCTATTTTCCTTACCAAATATTCACTCATGCAAGATAAACCTCCAGTTTGTTATAATCAGAAACTTTTATGACTAAAACAAAAGCCAATTTAACAGTGTCTCTTTAGAAAGGCAAGAAAATGTCAATAATAATTTATTTCTAAAAATAAAGAGTCACTATGACATTTACTTTGTTTCCCATTTTCCGTAACTCACACTTCCTTTTCTCCACACTACGCATATACGCACCCATGTAAATTGTCGCATAAAATTTACAAGCACAGGGGAGATGAGCAAAAGTGCTCTACTGTGGTCTCCAATTCCCTCCCCTCGTATACATATAATTTACGGTAGAAATTAGAAGTACCTTGGGTTGTGGTTTGATTCTTTTTCTTCTTTTAAAGTGGGTAAACATTCACTGTCGGCTAGGACAGAATAAAAGCAGACTCATTGTTAGTCACTGAAATTCTATTTTCTATCCACAAAACTCAGACAGTTGAGCATCACATTTGCTTGGTCTGTACGGTTATTTGTGCAGACATGGCCTCACCAGGGCGTTCCAGAAGCTAAAAGATTAATGGTGGCAAAGCTCTTAAAATGGAAAAGGCACTAATAGCACAGACACAAGACTTCAATGTGCTTCTGGCCCTCTCGGAAAGGGCGCAATTCATCACTGCTTGGTTATTCAGTCCCTGAAGAACCCCGCGGTGGCTCCAAAAGCTAGAATCTGCATGTTTCTAGCGGGAATAAAATGGCTTCACCTGAGGTCCTGATGTCCCTGCGGAATGATTTCAGTCAGGATGCATGATCAAAAAGAAGCAGGCAAAGTGGGGAGCAACAAACCTTCTGGAGGTCATCAGAGTTCTCTCCTAGTACACCACTACTATTTTTAAGGCAAACAAAAAACTGTTGGATCTATCACTTGTGTATCAAAATAACTCTCTGCTTTAGTTGTCAAATAGATAGGAGTTTTTCCAGTGTTACGGTTTTAGGGAGTGTCATAGGATCATGATTTTGCACTAATGGCCTTAGGAACCAAAGGAAATACACCAAAATATTGAGAGGTTGTCTTCGGGTGGTGGAATTATTTTTCTTTCTACTGTACTTTGAATTTTCCAAATTCTATTGTGTATGTATATTACTTTTATAAACTAAAAACAACAAAATGAACCTACTTTAAGGATTATCTCAATGACCCACTCCTATCCTCAAATGCTTTCCAGAGCCATTCTTTCTTCAGTATTGGACTGTTTGAAATTGTATAGGTTAGCTGAGTGGTTCTAATCTTTTTAAAAACTCTTCTTGTAAGTCTCTGATACAATAATTCTAAATAACAAATCTTTGGATTTGAGAACTCCATTGTAGATTGTTGTATCTGACAGACCCCAGGGTATTTTTTTTAAGATAAATTTTAAAAATACAAAGGATATGATAATATAAATAGTGGATTTTATTAATTTAATCTGAGCATCAAAATAATTTATTGATTTTTAAAGAAGTTTTTAAAAGAAAAAAACAGTTGTCATCATGTTTAAGTCCAAATATTGATTTAATCAAGAGTTAAGAACATATACTATAATTACTGCCAGTTATCATTTGGAAATTAAGTTATATGGGGATATTTATGTTACTATCTCTATTAGTGCTCTTCAATAGATCTTTCTACAGTAATGAAAATGTTCTAGATTTGTGCTCTATAATATCATAGCCACTAGCCACAGTGGCTACTGAGCACTCAAATTGTGGCTAGAGTGACTGAGGAACAAAATTTTAAACTTTATTTATTTATTTATTTATTTAAATTTTAATTTAAATAGCCACATGTGGCTAGTGTCTATTGTACTAGACAGCACTGATCTATGTCAGTTATATTTGATAAAGTTTTATAAACATGTACAGATTAAAATCATAGGTCTTTAAATATAAGGTAATGCCAAATGCTTTTTCCAGATATTGGGTTGTTGAAAAAGTCATGATGTGTTTTGTCTGTTTTTCCAAGGTCATTTATTTATATAAAGAACAAAGATCAATCAATGAAATATTGCCTGTTTTGTTCGATAGCCTTTTGCCATCTTTCAGTGAGCTTCATAATTCCTCGTTCATAGAAGGGCCTGTCTTTATTTGCGAAAAACTAAACAAAGTGCTGATTTACAGACTCATCTGAATTGAATGTTATACCACGCAAGGAGTTTTGAAGAGAGCGAAACAAGTGGAAATCTGATGGCACAAGGTCAGGTGAGTATGGTGGGTGTGGCAACACATCCCATCCAAGCTCCAATAATTTTTGACGGGTGATCAAACTTGTGCATTGTCGCGATGGAACACAACTCCTTTACAATTAACAAGCTCCGGATGTTTCTGGATGATGGATTCATTCAAACTGTCCAATTGCTGACAGTACACATTCGAACTGATTGTTTGGTTCCTTGGTAGGAGCTTGAAAAACACGACACCTTTAAAATCCCACCACACTGAGAGCATAACCTTCCTCTGATGAATGTCTGCTTTCGATGTTGTTTGA